CAAGTCCACTCTCTTCTTTCTAGTCCTTTCCACTAGACTACACCATACTACCTAGGCCTCTGGGTCTTTGAAGCAATTATCCAATCAATAGATGAACAATTTAGTAATGCTACCAAACGAGGAAAGACTGTGTAGTTGCCCTGACAATCCGCAGGGAATCCTTTTTTTAGCAAACTAGTGAGATTTTTATGAGCAGTTTCTGGGGAGGAGGTGAGCTGTTGCCTGAGTCATCTGTGGGAGTTGTGCCATACTGAATTTCTGTTAAAATAACCTCCATTCCTATGCTTCAGTTCCCTTTATTTTAAAAGCTCCTAAAATATAATTATATTATTATAATTTTAAATGGCTATTTGTCATATTAATCTTCAAAGTCAAAGTATTTCAGTGGGGGAGAGGGGTGATCTTTCTGAAAATGAAATGTGTCACTAAAAGCTCCAGATTAAAGGACCTGGTATTGAGTTTTCCTCATGGCACATTTGTTTGTGAGTCCTGTAAGCCATCTGTAACTTGAAAAACAGATCTTTTTCCTTGTCTCATTAATGTGAAACAATGCCTTTAAAGAGAAAAAGGAAATAAGTTCAAGTCTTAAAAGTCAAGTTCCAAAACAAATTCACAAGTACCAGATGGGAGAGGTAGGACTAGACATCAGTTTATCTGAAAAAGATCTAGGAGTCTTAGTGGACTGAAAACTCAATATAAGTCAAAGAAAATGGGTTGGGTTTTTCCAAATTTGCCAAAATTGGAGAATATGAACATGACTGAGGAGCAGAGAAATGTTGGAAACGATCACATAGAGCAAGCACCTGAGTCCGTTGCTGCTATGGGTATGACATGGCAGTCAGAAACTTAATAAAACCGTAGATCACATGAAGAAAAACCTAGTCATATTTTTTTTTAAAAAGTTCTTGAAGAATGGCAAACCATTTATGGTCACATGAAAGATTTCTCCAAATCACTGAAAGTAAGAGAAATGCAAATCAAGGCGACTCTTGAGGTTTTACTTCACTCACAGAAAACTGGCAGAGATGGAACTTGTCAATTCTGAAGGGTCTGCAGAAAGATAAACACACTGATACACTTGACAGAGTGATGAAGTAGTCCAAACATTCTGGAAAACAATTTGGAATTATGTTTAGAGAAACCGCTGCTGGATCAAAGACCCAAAAAAGATCCCATATACACCAACGCTTTCATTCTAGCACTATTAGTACAGGAGACAAAGTAAACAAAGCATAATAAGTGTCCATTGATTAGGGAATGGCTAAACAAATCATAGTATATGAATGAAAGAGAATATCATTGCACAATAAGGAAACAACAGATATAAAGAATTCAAGCAAACCTGGGAAGACTTACATGAACTGATGCAAAGTAAGCATAATCAGGTAAACACTGTATGCAATGACTGCAAAAGTGGAGATCGAAAGAACAAAATCAAAAATTGGAATTAAGGGCACTTTAATTATAATGACCAGGCTTAGCCCAGAAAGGACTGAAGAAAATATAATTCCTTCCTTTGCAGAAGTGGTTGGCTATGGGTATTGAATATCGCATGTACCGTCAGTCACAGATTTTTTTTTTGTTTTACAAGAAATGATTCACTAGTTGGGAGAGGAGGAGGATATATTTATAAATAAAGGTTATGTGAAAACTAGATATAAATAGAAATGAAATTTCAAAAGAGGATAAAAATATAAAAAGAGAGGCCTCGTATCCAGGATTGGGGGAAGGGAGTGGGATATTCCTGCTGAACTCTGCCCAGGTCAAATTCCACCTGGAGTATTGTGTTTAGTTCTAGGCATCCCATTTTAGGGAAGACATTGATACGCTAGACTATCTAGATGTGGACGATCAGAACAGGGAAGGGCCTGGAAATCACTCAATTTCGTTCATTAGTTGCTCTTTGTTCTCAGAGAGGACCAAAATGACATCACTATGTTAGAGTCAAGCTACAGTGTGTCCAGCTGTGGCTGATCAGCCCAACACAAGCTCGGAAGGCTCTACCACAGGTTGGATGCAAACAGTCCATATGAACATTTGGGGCAAATTCTCTCAATTTGTGCATCTCGTGTTTCTTTTGAGCTGCTTCAATTCTGCTTTGCTCATAGAGCACAGCCCCTTCTCTGATGAGGGCACGGCATGCTGGGCGGTCCTTTGCCAGCATCTACCATGCCACTCAATCAATTCCAAAGTTCTTCAGAGAGACCTTGAGAATGCCTTTATATCCTGCCATTCAAAAACTTATTGAAAGAACTGGGAACTTTTAGCCTAACGAGAAGACCCAACAGGAGGGGACATTGATGGTTGTCTTCTAATATTCTAATATTTAAGAGGGTAAGATGCGGAGAAGGATCTAGAAAAGGAGACAGAGAAGAAGCAGTGCACTGGGTAGGAGGAGAACCAGCAAAGAGTAACATCCCAAAAACTTACGAGAGAAGAGAGTATCAAAGAGAGGGTGATCAGTATTAAAGGCTGCAGAGAAGTTCAGGAGAATGAGGACTGAGAAAAGACCATTGGATTTGTCAACTAAGAGGTCACTGGTAACACTGGAGACTAGTTTCAGTGGAACGATAAGATGGGAAGCCAGATTGTAAGGGATTAAGAAGTGAGTGAGAGGGGAGAAAGTAGAGGCACCTAGTGTAGACACCTTTTCAATGAGTTTAGCGCCAAAGGGCAAAAGAGAGATAGCATGATATTTAGCAGGGATAGAAGGATCATGTAAGGGTTTTTTGAGGATGAAGAAGACATGGGCATGTTTGTAAGCAGTAGGGAAGGAGCCAGTGGAGAGGGAGAGATTGAAAATAAATAATCAAGTGGTGATGACAGAGGGGACAGGGTGCTGGAGGAACAGCAGAGGATGGAATCACTTATGCAGGCAGAGGAACCAACCTTGGTAAGGAGTAAGGCCACCTCTTCGTATGAGACAGGAATGAAGAGGAGAGAATGGCAGAAGGTGTTTGAGTGATACGAGATGATGGAGTTCATGGTGAATGCCCGTAGTTTTTTTCTGTAAAACACGAAGCAGGGTTCTCAGCTGAGAAGTTTGGAGAAGAGGAGCCATGGGAGGTTTGAGGGATGAGAAGGTTTGGAAGAGCTGCTATGGCGAGCGGGAGAGTTAGTTGATAAGGGAGGCATCGTAGGATTGCCAAGCAGCAGTGAGGATCCAGCCGAGATTGTGTAACATAAATTTATAATGGACCCATTTGGAACAGTTATGTGATTTTCTCCACCTTTCTTCAGCAGCATATGTATTGGAGCGAAGGCTGTAGACAGTGGGAGTGATTGATCCCAGGCAGAGGCTCGGCAGGGCACAACTGGTGATATGATAAGGGCGCCAGGAACTTGAAGAGGACAATGTAGAGTTGAATTGGTTCACCAAGGGGTTAAGATGAGGAAAAGAGGAAAGAGTGGTTAGCTCAGGGGTGATGGCCGGAGAGAGAATTGGGGAGTTGAAGGATTAGAGGTCATAGTGTGGACAAAAAGTAGGGTGATGTAAGGGAAGGGAGAAGGAGAAGTGGAAAGCCAATAGATTATGGCTGGATAAGGAGATTTCAAAATTCTTGAACATGGAGGTAGTACATTTGTGGGTGATGGCAAGATTGAGGGTATGACCATCTTTGGGACTGGTCCCTTACGACTCAGAGATTCCATGGATGCCACCAGGGTTGTGACTAATGAACAAAGTTTCAACATTTTTAACACAATTGAAATCAAGCAAGCTACCATTTTTTTTCCTTTTGGAAATTTTATTTTTATCCTAATCCTTTCCTCACATTAATTGATGGCAGAGCTTCCTGGAAGCAACGGATACTTGGCGCTCTATTAAAGTGGAATTCAATAAGTGATTTAGACCTTTGTTTTCTTTGAAGGCAGGTTAATCTTTTAAGTTCTTTTATTATTTAAACCCTGCTGACAGAGCAATCCCTTTTCTGTGCATCTAACATGCTATTCCATCTACTCTAATCCTGCTGGTCCCTGTCCAAGTCACTTCTTCTCACCACCATATGCGCAAGCTGCATACCAATAATTAAAGGATTCTGAAAGGCTGAGAGGAGAGAGTGCACTCCAGGCACGTAGGATGACTTCGAGGTAGGAGGTAGAAAATGTCATTTTGAGTTAGAGACCAATTATTGATTCCATTTAATTGAAGGGTAAAGTGTGAGAAGGAGAGCAATATGAGATAAGACTGGAAAAGTAGTTTGGAGCCAGATTAAGTCAAGTTAAGGCATTTGTGTTTTATCTTAGAGAAAATAGGGAAGCACAGAAAGGTTTCTGAGTAAGGAGGTGACATTGAGCTCTGCCTTAGAAATGTTAGTTGACAGCAGTAGGAAGTTGACAGTTGACAGCAATAGGAAGGATTGACTGATGAGGGGAGAGGCTAGAGGGAGAGATACCAGTGAGTGGACTATAATAATCGTCCAGGCAAGTAGGGATGAAGAACTGAATGAATGTGGCAGATTCATGAGTGGAGAGAAGAGGACAGATATGAGAGGTGTTGTGGAGCTGGAAGCAACAAGACTTAACAGATGATTGGGAATTTGGAAGAGGAGGAGGGAGTGCCTTCCAGGTTGCGAGGGGGACAGCCTTGCAAAAGCATAGAGATGGGAAATGGGAATTTTATAGTTGAGGAAACTGAGGCCTGTAGAGGTTAAGTCCCAAAGTTCCACTAGTAGTAAACGTCAGAGGTGGGATTTGAGCCAAGGTATGTGGACTCCAGGGTCAGTGCTTTCTTCTGTATCATTGGTCGCCTCCTCCATCAGTAAGCGTCTGAGGGTCACATCTGAATTCTGGTCCTTCTCACTCCAGGCCTAGTGCTCTATACGCTGTGCTGCCTAGCTGCCCCACCAGGCACATGGTATGTGTTTAATAAATGCTTATTTATTTCATGGAAATAAATTTGGCAAACTACAGACCCCTTCTCAGAATCACATTTTATTGCCTACATTGATAATTGAAGAAAATGCTACATTTCAGTTAGAGATCAGTGAAAATAAAGAGGTAATTTTTTTCCCATCCAAATTCACAGACCTAAAATCCATCCTTCTGTTGACCCCTTGAGGGTCTTAACCCCAGGTTAAGAGCCCCTGGGATAGAGAGAAATGGGAGAGATGACCCAGCAAGGCGACTTCAATGTCCTTCAAAGCGGCTGCTGTGGTTTGGGGAAGCCATGTTCCTGCCCCACCTATCAGAAAGAAGAAAGTCAGCAGGAGTTGAAAAGCCCGGGTCTACAGAACCTGATGTGTCTACACCCCAGTGTGAATCAAGTGGAGAAAGCCAGCCCCCAGCCCTGGTTCTTACCTCCTGTTGGAACCACCACACAGGTGGCCGCCGGATTCCTCACCAAGGCTGTGAGCTCCGGGGCGTGAACCCACAGTGCCAGAGACAGAACATAGCTAGTAAGCAGCTGACCTTCCTGATTCTCCCTCTGCAGATGTGGAAGGACAAGACAAGGAATGAAATGAAGAGGAAGCCTTCCCCCTGGGGGATGGGATTTCAGGTTAGAGGTAGTTTCTATTACTGTGGCTGCAATATTCCCTTGATATCACTGGGTTTTCGTTTTTTACTAGTTGAACTGTTTTCTTACCCTGTCCTTGCAGGCAGAGGTGAAGTGGCTGGCTCTAAAGAGACCTCCCCAGTTTCCAACGGGATAGGGACACACACAGAGCCTGGGAGTAAGCAGGCATGGCTTGCAGGTGTGGGGGAATGACCAGGTCAGCAGGGCCCACTGCCCTGTATTCTTGACTCTCTTACCCCCTTGGCTTTCTCACATTAATACCAGGTCAAGCCTTGAACCTGAGTCATCCCCATCTTTCTCTCTCAATGTCCCAATCTCTCTTCCACTCCTCTTCTCTTCCCCCCTCCTTCTTGCCCCCAAACTGTCAGCTGTCTAAAACCTTTTTCTCTGTCTTCAAACTCCCTTTGCCTCTCTAACCGCCCCCCCCCCACTTTTTCTGCAGAGGACCTTCTACTGAACTGAGGAAATGGAAGCCATACATAGGGAATCGCCCCATTTTCTTTACTCCGCAGACCAAAACCTCTCTGCTTCTTCACTCATTCTCACCTCCTTTGCTCTCCTCTCAGAGGATGATGTGATCTCCTTCCCAGGACTGACCCGTGATTAGAATTTGGACCCTTAATGCCCTTCACTCCTGTCTCTGCTAAGACCTTTCTGTACCGATAGTTCCATTTTCACTCACTCATCTTCAGTCTCTTCCCATCTCTTGGTTCCTTCCTTATGAGCTAGAAATTCTTCCAGTGATAATATGGCCACACGGCGTAGGAGGACCATTCTCCAGCAAAGGGAAAGGCACAGGTGGGGTTTAGCAGGCTGCAGCCTCTTGTCAATCAGTCTACGAGCCAGCTAGTTTGAATGGGAAGAAGAGAGTTCAAGGGGAGGGATATACAGTAAGACTAGAAGGGGGGGGCAGCTGGGTGGCACAGTGGATAGAGAACCAGTCCTGAAGTCAGGAGGATCTGAGTTCGAATCTGGCCTCAGACCAAACACTTGACACTTGCTAGCTGTGTGACCCTGGGCAAGTCACTTAACCCCAATTGCCTTAAACACTTACAATGGGCCAGGCCCTGTGCTACCAAAAAGATTTTACAAAAACCACTGTCCCTGAGATAAAGTGTCATATGTTCTAATGGAGGGGACATGTGGATACATACAAGGCCCAGACAAATTAGATGAAGGTATCTGAAAGGCAAAGGCACTAGTAGCTGGAGGGACTGGGAGAGGCCTCCTGCAGAAGGCAGGGCTTGAGCTGGCTCTTGCAGAAAGCCAGGGAAGCTAAGAAGTCAAGGTAAGGGGCGAGGAGAGCAAGGGGGAACAGCCAGGGCAAAGGCCTGGAAAGAGGAGACGAGGTGACATATTGGAGGCCTAGAAGGTGGCCAGTGTGGCTGGATCTTGGGTGCACGGTGAGAGTGAATGCATAAGACAACTGAAAAGTGGGAAGGGCTCGAGCTGCGAAGGCAAGCCCTTAATTGCTGGAGGACTTTATGCTGGATCTTGGAGATAATAGGAAGCCCCTGGAATAACACATGGGCAGCTTAGTAGAAGATGAAGTGTTGTAGAGGGGGAAAAAACTGTGCACCAGCAGCAGAATTAAGATGATTATCAAAGTGAAGGAAGACCAGAAGAGGAGGTAGGCTATGATGCATGGAGGACAAAGGATAACAAAGGAACAACCCATGGGCTCTACTGGAACCTAAGTAATGACAAGAGAGGCTGCTAGGTGGCACCGTTGTGCATAGAGCGTCAGGCCTGGAGTCAGGAAGACTCATTCATCTTCCTGAGTTCAAATCTGCCCTCAGACACTTATGAGCTATGTGACCCTTGGGCAAGTCACTTGACCCTATTTGCCTCAATTTCCTCACCTGTAAAATGATCTGGAGAAGGAAATGACAAACCACTCCAGCATCTTTGCCAAAAAAAACCCAAATGGGGTCATGAAGAGTCCGACACAACTGAAAGATGACTGAACAACGACAAGAGATCCTGAGTAAGGCCGCCAGCATGTTGAGTTGACCTTCGGTGGGAGATTGGTGGGAGGAGATATGCTCACCAACGGTGATTACCATTGTCTTAGAGGAGGCACAGCCAAGAGTCCAAGTCATAAAGGGATTCCCAGTAGGCGGTGAGGTCTTCCCTTCAGGATGAATGGATGGCTGGTTGGATGGATGGGTGACATTGTGCTGATTGCATTAAAGCCTGAGATATCAGAGCCAGCCTCCTAAATGACAACGACATTAAGTTCCAAGAGTACAGCCTCGCTCTCTGGAGAGGAAAGACTGCTCAGGAAGAACAACTGCCTATTGTCCAGAGCAGGGGTGGGGAATTTGCAGCCTTGAGGCCACACAAGGCCTCCTAGGTCTTTGGGTGCAGCCTTTTGAAGGAGTCCAAGCTTTGCAGAACAAACCCTTTTGTTAAAGGGGATTTGTTCTATGAAGTTGGATTCAGTCAAAGTGTTGCACTTGAGGACCTAGAGGGCCACATGTGGTCTCGAGGCCTGAAGGTTCCCCACCCCTGGTCTAGAGTCTAGACTCTGATTCACATCTGCATGAACAAATGATCATGCCTGTCTATAAGTATGCCTCTATCTGAGATAGGCCTTGCAAATGGACAAGAAGCTAGGCTCAGAAGTGAATAGCAAGTTGGATTGCTTTTGGGAAACTGTCCAGGGCTTCTAAGCTTGTCCTTGAAACCAAGAGGTCTATCTGTTTAACACAGCCTTCTTCCAGTGTGGCTGGGAGTCACAGAATCTGACAGTTTCTGATGAATCAAGGTTGAGAATCACCCCAAAGGTTAACGGAGAAGTTCAGGCATAATGGGTATGAAGAGGCTGGAACATAAGGCAGGGATAACACAGCATCACAGATTTGAAACTGGACAGGACATTAGGGGCCTGCGGGTTCAACCCTTAAAGATGAGGACAAAGAGTTGGGAAGGATCACTTGGGGGCCATTTTGCAAAGAACTTTTCTGGGGCAACTCCATGGTGCAGGGGATCGAACTCTGGACATGGCATCAGGAAGGACCAGTTCAAATCTAGCCTCAGACGCTTGATAGGGGTGTGACTCTGGGCAAATTACTTAACCTTAGTTTCTTCATCTGTAAAATTAAGATCATAACAGCACTAACCTCCCAGAATTGTTACGAGGATAAATTGAAATAATGTTATCAAGTGCTTTGCAAAGTAACTGGCAAGTAATAGGTAGTTCATAATTCCTTATTTATCAAAAAACAAAACTTCATTCCTTCAACCTCTCTGGTGGTTTTCTTTTTTGTGCTTTTCTGGTTTTTGCCATATTTCCTTTTCTTCTGACAAGATTGAGGGGAATGTGCTTAGATACCTTCTCTCAATCATCTTGAGTGATAAAATAGCCTTTCCCCCTACTAATTAATTTCTTTCTGCTTTTTTAAAACATCTGAAGTATTTCTGAATATAGCTTCTACCCTTTGCCTTGATTCTTTCTTACTAACAACAACAAAATTCAGCAAAACTGGACCAACAAAACAATCACAGTGGACGTCATTCCAGACCCAGAGTACCCAACTTTTCTGTTTTCAAGCATTCTCCCTTTTCTAGCTCATCTTCCACACAGCAGCCAAAAGTATCTTCCTAATGGCCGTATCTTACCATATCGTTCCATCGCTCAAAATTCTCAAGAGGCTCCCAATCGCCTTTAGCATAAAACAGAAATTCTCCAACCTGGCATTTGAAGCCCTCCAAGAATTGGCTTCCATTTGCCTTTCTAGACTCATTTCGTAAGCTCACCGATATAAAAGCTGGAAGGGACTTTAGTTGTCAGTTAGTCCAACACCCTCAAGAAATTGAAGCCTGAAGCACTCAAATGACTTGCTCAAGGTCACAGAGATAGTAAATAAAAGAGCAAATATCTGCACTCAGGACCTTTCACCTCCTAACAGAGAGATTGCTCTTTCCAGGATACCTCACTGTCCCAACAAAGCAGTTTACACATGAGGAAAATACAGTGTAGTAGATCATGGCATGAAAGAATGCGTAGGCACCCTAGCAATTAAATAAATGCAGAAGAAAACAAATTTAAGCTACCCAAATACAACTAGGAAAAATTAAAATAAATGATACAACCCATTGCTGGTGAAGATGTGAGGAAAGTACACTTAAAATTTGCTGGCAGCACCATAAAAATGCATGTTCAGTCTTTCTGGAGAGCAATCTAACAGTATGTAACAAGAGCTATAAAAATATCCCTACCCTTTGACCTAGTCATTTCACTTTGGGGAATATGCCCCAAGGTAATAAGCAATTTGTACAAAAATGTTCATAGCAATGCTACTTATAATGTCAGAAAATTGGAAACCCAAATGCCCAGTGTAAGGGGAAAAGCAAATTGGGGGATATCAACTCAATGAAATACTATGTAACTATTAAAATTTTTTTTTTACTTCTAAGCTGTCTTCCTCCCCACTTTCCCCCCATTAGTTCTCTTGATATTCTTGACATTTTAATCCTCCAGATAAAATTTTAAATGATTTTATCTACCTCTATAAATAATCCTGTGGTAGTGTGATTGGTGTGGCACAGGATGAGCAAATTAATTTAGGTACCAGTATCATTTTTATTATATTTGCTTGGTCTACCCATGAGAAGTGAATATTTCTCAAATTATGTAGATCTGTCTTTGTTTCTATATGGAGTTTTGTGTATAGAAGTATAGTTGTGTTTAACCTAGCTCCTGTGTTTACCTTGACAAGTAGACTTGAAAGCATGTTATATTTTTTAGTGTTGTTTTAAATGGAATTTTTCTATCTCTTCCTGTTTAATTTTTTTTATTTGGTGATTATGCAGAAATGCTGATGTTTTATTTTATAAAATTTATAAAATTTTATTTTACATCCTGCAACTTTGCTGAAATTTTTAATTGTTTCAACTAGCTTTTTAGTAAATTAAGCATCATATTGTCTGCAAAAGGCAGGTATTTTGTTTCCTCTTTGACTATGCTTATTCCTTCAATTTCTTTTATTTTGTCTTATTGCTATATCTAGAATTTCTAGTACGACACTGAATAACAACAGTCATAATGAACACACTTGCTTTATCCCTGACTGTATTGAAAAGTTTATCTCTACTACAAATACTACTTATTATATTAAGAAGAGATTTATTCATTCCTGTTTTCTAGGGTTTTTTTAAAAACAGGAATGAATATTGTATCTTATCAAAAGTTTTTCCTACATCTATTGAAATATATGATTTTAATTGTTCTTTTTTTTTTATTAATGTGGATAGTTAATAATGTATATAATCTTCCTAGTACTGAACCAGCACTGTATTCCTGGTATAAATTCAGCTTGGTCAATCTTTATAATATATTGTTGTAGTTCCCTTTATTTGAAAAGTTCGCATCAATATTTATTAGGAATATTGGTTTATAGTTTTCTTTCTCTATTTTGACACTCCTTATATTAGGTATTGAGAGCATATTTGTATCATAGAAGGAATTTGGTAATTCCCCCTTCCTTTCCTATTTTTTCAAATTGTTTATATAATATTGGAATTGATTGTTCATTAAATACTTGAAAGAATTTGCTTAAAAATGCATTTGGTCTTTTTTTCCCCTTTGGAAGGTCATTTATATCTTCTTCAATGTGTTTTTCTAATATTAGATTATTAAGCACTTTATTTTTTTGTTCTGGGCATTTTACGTATTTTAAAAATTACACATCTTATTTAGACAGTCAGTTCTACTGGCATACGATTGGGCCAAATGATTCCTAATAATTTCTTTTGTTTCTTCTTCATTGGCTATGAATTCAGTTTTCATTTTTGATGTTGGTAATTTGTTTTTTTCATTCTTTTTAAAAATCAGTTAGTTAGTGGATTATTTAATTTCCCCCCTTCCTCCTCCCACCCCCTAAAAAGCTCCTAGCTTTACTTAATAATTCCAAAGTTTTTCCTTTTTTATTTCATTAATCTCTCCTCTGATTTTTGGGATTTCTATTTCAGTGTTTAAGAGAAGGGATTAATTTGTTGGTTTGCTTTTCTTTATTTTAATCCCATGCCCAGTTTATTAATCTGCTCTTTCATTCATTTACTAATAAAAATGTATAGAGATAAGAAAAATTATCTCTAAGTACTGCATTGACCGAATCCTCCAAATTTTTGTATTTTGTCTCATTTTTGTCATTATCTTTGATGAAATTACTGATTACTTCTATGATTTGTTTGTTGATCCACTCACTCTTTATGATTGTTATTTAATCTCCTATTCATTTTAAATTGTCTTATCAGCCTTTCTTGAATATAATGTTATTGGATTGTGGTTTGTAAAAGATGATTTTAATATTTCTGCATTGGTTTGTGAGGTTTTTATGCCCTTTTTGTTAAGGTGCCATGCAGTGCAGGCATGCTCCTTTCTATTCCCATTTAATAATCTTCAGAGGTCTATCATATCTAACTTTTCTAAAATTCTTTTCAGGTCCCTTTTTTGCTTGGTTTTTTTGTTAGATTTATCTACATCTGAGAGGGGTAACTTGAGGCCCCCTCAATATTATAGTTTTACTGTCTAGTTCTCCATGTAATTTGTTTAACTTTTCCTCTATTTATATACTATGCTATTTAGGGCATATATGTTTAATATTGATTAATATTTAATTTAATTTAATATTGAATATGGTATCTATAGTTTCCCTCTTTACTTTTTTTTGTCTTTTTTTGCTGTTGTTTTGTCTCAGGTCAAGATTACTACCTCTGCCTTTTTTACATCAGCTGAAGCATAATAGCTTTTGTTATAACTCCCTGTTTAAAATCTGTGTGCACCTTTCTGTTTCGAGTATATTTCTTGTAAACAACATAGTATTGGATTCTACTCTTTAATCCATTTTGCTATCCTCTTGCATTTAAGGGTGAGTTAATTTCTTTTACATTTACAATTATAATTGTTAATTATACATTTCCCTCCATCCTATTCTCTTATACTTTTCTTTCTCTTTGGTTCCCACCCCTTCTGCAGCTAGGTGGCACAATGGATAGTGCCAGGCCTGAAGTAAGACTCATCTTCCTGAGTTCAAATCTGGCCTCAGACACTTACTAGCTGTGTAACCCTGGACAAGTCACTTAACCCTGTTTGCCTCAGTTTCCTCATCTGTAAAATGAGCTGGAGAAGGCAATGGCAAACCGCCCCAGTATCTCTGCCAAGAAAACCCCAAATAGGGTTTTTAGACACAACTGAAAGACTGAACAACAGCTTTATAAAGAAGAGTGTGATAAGAAAGAAAGAGTGAACGTAGCACCAGCACTCTAGGTTTAGTGTAATCTGCTTCTGTTCCCCACCCCCGTTCTTTTTCTCTTGCTTAGAGCCCAATAACATGCTCCTATCCTGATGAAAAACTTTGTGAAAAATTCAAAAAAGACAATTTGGAGGAATGCAAGTAGTTCAGAATTCAATCTTTTTATTTTGTTTAGTTGCTTAATTCCTAACTAGAGAAAACAGTGGGCAGATGTATTTTACTTTATCTTGTGATATCCTCACACAGAGACCAAGGAAAGGCAGTGTGGCAGTCTGAAGATAGAGAGCTGGTCTCAGAGTCAGGAAGACCTAGGTTTGAATCACCCTGCTAACACATACTGGCAGGGAGGCTCTGGGCAAGTCATTTGACCTCTTATTGATCTAGGCGACTCTCTCAGACTCTAAGTGGCAGAAAAGGTAGAGGGAGTTTCCTTCCTGGGGCTTTCCCCAACAAAATGGCACCTTGGGGGCCAACTCTGTTCCCCACCTAACTCAAAACTTTCATTTACATCAGTGATTCTTAACCCTTTGTGTCATGAATCCCTTTAGCAGATGTGGCAAACCTATAGACTCCTTATCAGAATAAGGTTTTTAAATGCATAAAATAAAACACACAGGATTATGAAAGAAACCAATTATACAAAACAGTGATCAAAATTTTGAAAAACCATAAGTTCACAGTTTCTACAATAAGAACCCTAATCTATGTAAATACATGACAAGATAAGTATGAGGGCATGGGGTATAACTCCCTCCGGCTCAGCCACAGAAAGAGGCAGTTGTACCCTTAACCATCGTCACCAATAAGTGTTCCCCCTCTGGACCTCGAAATCCCTCAACCTCCTATCCTTCCATCTCTTCCTCTGTCTCATTCCTCCTAAATCTATTCTTCTGCCACCTCTAGTCACCTATGCCTCTTTATGTTCCAAGTCCATCACCCCTGCTCCGGCCTCAACTTCCCCTCTTTGTAGTCTTGATGCTATAGGGATTTTTGTTTATTTATTAAATTTTGTTTGTTTCCTTCTCAATTTAACAGACACCAGATAAAATGAGCACTTCCATATACAAAGTAGAACAGGAAAAGAAAACTGGACACAAAACTGTGAATCTATTACGTACAGTTTGGTTTTCCTTTTAGGTTTCTAATAAACACAGTATGTAACTTTCTAAGCTGTCCTGCTTGTTTGTCTGTTTTTCTTTTCTTTTTTTTTAAATTTTAAAAAATTAATTAATTTCTTTTTAGTTTTCAACAGTCACTTCTATAAGTTTTTGAGTTTAAAATTTTCCCCACCTCCGTCCCCAAGACAGTGTACAATCTGATATAGGCTCTATATATACATTCCTATTAAACAGATTTTCACATTAGTCATTTTGGAAAGAAGAATTAGAACCAATGGAAAGAACCTCAAGAAAGAAGAAAGAAAACAAAACAGAAGTAAAAAAGAGCAGATAATATGCTTCGATCTGCATTCAGGCTCCACAGTTCTTTCTCTGGATGTGGACAGCATTTTCCATCATGAGACTTTTGGAGATGTCTTAGATCCTTGCATTGCTGAGAAGGGCTAAGTTT